AAAAAAAACTGGGGCTGGGCTGAAAATTGAGACATTTGGTGAGCAGAAGAGCTAATGCACAGCTGACAAACATTTCCCAGAGATCTTTCAATGTAATATTTTTGATGCCATAATTATTGCTATATTGTCAGTACTAATAATAATAGATCTAGTGCAGCAGGAATTCCATATCTTAATTTGGGAAACTTCTCTTTTCGTTAAATTTAAATAACACTGTAACAGATTTCACTGTAATATAAACAAGTTCACATTATGTGACTTTATTGGATCCTGTATACTGATTAGTTAAAAATCTCATGTTTTAACTTTCTTGATCATCTTTACATACGCTTATAATTTATAACAAATGAACCAAGGCTCATGGGTCTAAGATTGGCACCAGTGATTAAGACCACAAGCTCATAAGTAAAACATTTACAGAAGTCATGAACCAAGTAACATGTGGAACTATTTTTTTTTTCATATTATTTTCTAATTCTATTTACAATAATTTTGTACCCCCAGGAGTTGACAATTGCTGTTCATTAGAAAGAATACAGGTTTTCTCTCTCTTTTTTTTTATTTTAGTATTTTAGGCTCCCTGGTTAGTTAAGTACAATATAAAATTATTTTAGAAAACATATTGCATTACATTGTTGTTAAACACTAACGCACTTGGGAATTTGGATGTCCCAACTGATAATGTTTATGAAAACCTGCATGGTAATAAGGATGTTTCTGAGATGCGAGACTTAGTAATACTTACCATAATTTTTCCAATACCCTGGAATTTGTTTTCCTTAGTAAGGGTCACAGTTGTTGATGCCAGCGTCCTGTCTTGTCTTGGAAAGTTCCTCACAATGATACGGACATTAACATTTTCTTCACCAGCATTATCTTGAATTTCAACAAAGATGTTTTCTTCACTTCCTACTCGCAGGAGATTGGGGGCAGACATCACCTTCCTGAAGACAGAAGACAGCGTTGGACAATGTAGCCCAGCTTATTCTGTATGTAACAAACTTCATGATTTATTCAATTAGTCATTCATTTGGTAAAATAAATCATCATTTTTTATAGAGAAGATAAATTCTACCAAAACTAAGAGTTTTCAGTCATATTGTAGCCCTGTGCAAGAGTACATAAAAACAATGGCTGTTGATGCTAATGTCTAACACCAGCATGCCAACTCTTCTGCTTACTTTTGGAGCTTGACTAAAGGGGTGCGTTTAAAAAAATCGATTTGCTGATTCATATCAATTTTACCTTGAATAACGTGATGTCAATTCATTAAATCCTGTTTTTTCCTTTTTAAAATATAAATTTTAAAAATTTTGCCAGAAACACCAGAATCTCATTTTAAAGCTCACAAAACTATGTCAACAACTGCGAAACAGTTAAAACAGGGAATGATTAAAGAGCAGGTAAACTGATTCAGCAAAAAAGATGCAAACACAAAGCATGACCCAATGGCATGTACACGGTCATGCCTCAGGCACTGAAAGACGAAATCTCACAGATTTCGATGCTGCAGGTTTTGTTACTCTCCGACCAAAATGAACTGAACCAGCAGCGTTTGATAAATATTGTCATGAATTCCCTTTTTTTTTGCTTCCACCGTGATAAAATTGCATTCCCCGCACGGCTCTCTCTCTCAATGTATTTTTAAAGGGGCTACATGCTAAAAAGCCAGGCCAGGAAAGTCTCCTTCGTGGTGTTCTGTATTTTCTTCTCAGTTACTTTGACACAAAGGCATCTGTTGTGATGCGTACAGCTCTGATGAAGTCTTACAAGTGTCAGATATGTTTTTAATCATAGATATAAAAATACTGATATGTACTGATAAATAATTACAATATTTCTGATTGTCTGAGTCAAAATTTAATTTAATTGAATCAAATCGAAACGGAACCCTGTGAATCAGAATTGAATCAGTTATAGAAATAACCAAAAAGTGTCAAAATTGTAGAGAAAACATACCACAAAGCAAATTATTATAAATTCAACATCTACTTGGTTTCTTTTCAATTCAATTCAATTCAATTTTATGTGTCCAGTACTGCATTTATAGATCCTAAGGGCTTCACAGTCACATTTTTTTAAAATGAAGTCACTATATTTACATATGTGACATCATATAAAATATATATGTAAAAACTATATGTAAAAAATTACATATATTTACACACAAAAATAACTGCTATACTTTGTTTAGTTCTTTCCAGTTTAAAATGTCCTTGCACTGGATAAACAAAACATTTCATCCTTGTTCTGGGCAATGTTTGCTGTGTGTGTTGCAATTCACCTCTGTGCAAACTTAGTGTGTGGTAATTTACCAGCATTTGAAAGACTGTTGTACCTTGACTTGCTTTATACAAATAAACTGGACAAAACTGGATAAATATTCATTAATCATTATGTATCCTATCCAACACAGAAAATTGCTAGTTGCGAACATTTTAATTTGGTTTCAGAATACAGTTAAATTATGAATTATGATCAGAACGTAAAAA